GGCGGCACAAATGTTGAAGCTGTCACATCACAATGAGAAGGATCCAGGTTCACCACCTGTCCTTTCTGTGTGGAGTTTACATGTTCTCCCAAAAATTAAACCCATACATGTTAGGTTAATTGCTAACTCTAAAGTTTCCCCTGTTGTAAGGTGAAAGTGATTGTTTGTTTCTATGTGGCCTTGTGGTGGATGCTTGACATCACTAGGGTTATCCCACCTCTCGCACAGTACTAATGGAGATAGGCAACAGCTGCCCACGGCCTGAGAGGAAAAGTGAGAAGTGAAGATAGATGGATGATTTTAAAAATAGCCAGTGAGTTTGAAGATGCAAAACAAGCTGACCACATTGAGAACAGTGATGAATGCTACCGCAAAGCCATTGGCAGAGCTGTCACTGTTACTTTCCTGTTTTCACATTTAAAATAATCCTAAATCAAGATGACACACTTCCAATATGCAAATTATCTTCTCCACAAAAAAATATTTTAAATTTCGTACAATGGGGGGGAAAAATTATATCAAAGAGCAGGCGAGAGGGTCATTTTTCATTTCCCATCTAGATCGTAAACGTCCCTTTGATTTGCAAAAACATAATTTAAAAAATCATGAATCATTCTGATGTCAGGACTTGTGCGTTTCTAAAAATGAACCACTTGATCAAAAAGCAAACGTTGCAGTGTCCAGAGGAGCAGTCGCAGCTGTTCTATTGTCATTAAATTAAGCAGATTCTTGTTAATTTGAGGAAATTGTTAAATGGTATGCGTCACATTTCATCAACAATTTTAAATTCATGTTCTGTTTTTTTTTTTTTTTAAATACACTTCTTTATTTGTGGTCATTCAATGATCATCAAAAAAAAAATAGGCATGTTTTGAATCAAATAATCCACTGTTTAACCTTTGGGTTCTTTTTATCAATTAACAAGGGTCACTGCTGATGGCTCTTAGTCGTCTACAACTCATGTAAAAGTTCACTTGCCACCCCTCGTCAGTAGTGCTTGCTTCCACTTTATTAAAGGGCTAAAAGCTGTGTGCCTGTGCGTGTCCCTGTTGTCAACGCAGCAGAAAAATGATAAACAACATTGCAGAAGGTCATGTTAGGAAGTGTGGGAGCAGAGTGCGAATGGAGAGAGGCGGCGAGATTGAGTGTCTCGAGGAAAAGCCATCATCTGCTCGCACCACACCCACCCCTCACATTTCCAGTTCAGTGCACTCTTTAGCAGAATTATTGATGGTGCTTGTGAGATACACGGGATGGCGATGAAGATGTCTCAATCCCAGGCCGGCTAAACAAGAGCTATGGCGAAACGTGGAGCAAGCAGAAAGAACAACACAAGTAGTATTTAGAGCTGTGTTTGATATAATTGACAAGAAGACAGGAATGTAAATACTCCTGTGTAGCACTCATGTATTATTAATGATGAACTGTGGAGAAACACACTACTAAAGAAAAAACAGTGAAAGAAAAAATATATGGACAACCATAAAAAACCTTGCCTATGTAAACAAGCTGTCATAGTAAGATGGTTCAGCGTTGAACCTAACACCCTGCACAATGTCATGTGATACACACACTCATCCACCATCACATGTTGATGAACGGGGCTAAAAATATAAACTAATTCACCAAATGGAGCTACTTCATGTAAAGCTAAGTGTTACATCCTAAATAAAAATAATACAAATAACAAAAAAGAAAGTGTTTCTTTAGTAATATTTCATTCTCTAATTTTGGTCAGAATGAAGTAAAATAAGTTCAAGTGTCTGACATGATGATGGAAGCTGTCCTGTTTCCTCAGTTTCATCATGCTTGCAGTAGCTTATGTTTCCTTTAAGAACCAACAGATTACTTTCTTTTCCTGGTTTTAGGATGTGTGGACTTTATGGATTTTTAAGTGAAGGTATTGGGGTTTTTTTTTAAGAAAAAGAACAAAAACTGAAAGGGGATGTTTTTTGTACTGGGTTTTGCCGTTTCATTTTTTAACTTCTCATCCAAACAAGACTGAGGTTACAGCCTTTTAATAAGGTTCCTTGATCAAAGCAAACAGTTCCATATGCCTCGTCTTCTTCGTTTCCATCACTTAGTCTTCCCTGTAAATTGAACAGTTTTATGCACAGAGCAGTTTTTTTTTCCCCCCTCAGACTTTTATATTGTGACATGTTGGAATCATCTGCATGAGGACTGAGCTCATAAACACATCAGTCCTGCTGATGTTTATTCATAAATTGAGCAAGGACAGACAGCCAATATGGCCGATGTCCCTGTTGATAAACAACACGGTCACCGAGGACGTCTTTGAGATCTTTGTTGGAATGAGATAAATATCCAAGGACGACTTTCATTTTTAATATGTTCTTATCATAAAATCTGACTAATTAAAATTTTATTGGATACATAGCAGCTTTATTAGACTGTTTTTGTTTCTACTGCACTTGCTTGTATAAAACCTAAACTGATGAACCCTCAGTTCAGCCAACAAAACACACAGTGTCAGATTGAGGTATTTACCTAAATTTGAAATGTATATTACAGTTTGTTAAGAAAATAGTAAAGTAATTAAGAAGTAAGACAAGTAATTGTCCTCTATCTTGTCATACAACTTGAAAAAAAACATACTATATAACAAAACATGCAGCTCAATTTGAATTAGTGTTCTATAAATTGTGATACATCATAAAACATAAACAGAATTCAAGCACTCATTAAAAAAAGACTCAAAAAACAATGAAAAACAATGTGATATTGGCTAAATAGTTGGAAAACCCATCCCATGTGAAGCTCTACAGACAGACTTTATTTACATCATTCAAACCTTAAACGTGTCCAAGTTGGCACTTTGAGACCCTTTATTTTTATTTATTCATTTTTTTTAACAGTTTTACATAAATGCAGTTTGAGTATAATGATTTTTGGAGATGTTTCCATGTCAAGCGAAGATGATGAAGTAACAATCTAACTTTTTAATTGTTTGTGTATTTCAAAACATTTTCAAATAAGCTCTTCTCACTCCCACAAATTCCAGTATATACTGTACCCGTCTCTCTCTCATTAGTTTTAGAACATCACCAAGTTTTGATAAAATGTTGGTCAGTATCTGTATTGGTGGCCATCATCATCACTGTGAAAAAAAAAAAAATCACTGTAATGCCACTTGATTGCTGATATGTGCTGCTGACTATCCATGCTGCTGATCTCATGCTGCTGATTTATTCCACTCTGCTGTGTTCATTCATACTCATCTGCTCACACAGACTCATGTTCGTGCTGCTGTTGTTTTTGTTCTATTAAGTGTTTAGCGTATTCTTAGCGTATTTCTTAGTTCATATCTCAGATCTTATTACTGTTTTTCTTTACAATGTATATTTTTCTTTGATGTAACTGCATACACAATTATTTTCTACCACATTTACTACATGAGGTGCAAATGAAAAATAAAGAAACTTTGACTTCATGTCATTCATTTATTTTAATATTACAGTATTCACATCTATACAACAATAAACAATAAATGTAGAGCCATGTGCTGTATTTTGCATTAAATGTTCTTACATTGCCCTCTAGAGGCACAATAGCAACCCAAACGTACACCAAATTAAAATAATTAAATAAAAATAAATAAATAAAGAGAGGAGGTGATTTCTTGGACACTGGGCAGCTTCATCATCCTAAATATCACCACAGTGAAGAGTATTTGCAGTGGCAAGTCATTTAATGAGGAAAAAAACAGGTATAAAACACATACTGATGATAGAAAAAGCTTAGCTACAGTCTTTAAAAAAAATAAAAAATGAAGCAGCATCTTGTCGGCTGATCTCCCAGTCAGGGAGTTATCATCGGATCTTGAGTGAATCTGCTGACAAACAGGTGAGTCACCGTGATAACACGAGATAAGAAGACTTCTTTCATGCTATAAAATGAGTTTGTGAAGTGTCAGACGCTGACTTTTTTTTTAAATTTTTGATAAAGAGTAAAATCTCCCAGCAGGAAAGTTTAACAGCAACATAGTGTTTGTGTTGACAAAAGAATAAATGTATTCATAATGGGTATGTTTATATCTCACTAATGCAACTTGATTTAAAAGTATTAACTTTCATTTACAAAATACAGCTTTAATGCTTTCCAAAAACGGTTTAAAAAATAACAACTTTTATTTTATTTTTTTCTTAATTCGGCTTTAATGCTTTCAAAAAACGGTTTAGGGTTTTCAGCATATCTTCTTAGCACAGCAGCAGCACACTAAGAGAACATTGAGTAATCAGACAAAAAAGGAACCTTCATTTTTGAGAAGTACTCTCTGACACGGGTCAACTGTTCTGTCCACTCATTATTATATTTAGACATCTAATCATATCAGAGCTAAATATGGATTTGCAATGTAGGAAGTGCATGAAAAATTTGATCTGAACATAAAAATTCCATGAAACTCCTTAATATTGTGAACAAGTTGCAACACAAACATAAAAAAAAAAAAAAAAAAAAGGTTGAAGAAAATAGTGTATTAACGTGTTCTAATATATATTTTAAAGTAGAAAATTAAAAAGAGAGTGGAAGAAAATAAAAAATATATATTAAACAACTGTGTTATGTGGTGTACGTAATAATGTATAAAGCGACAGACATGAGTTTAATTTAGATTAAAATGTGACAGGTTAATTTTATTTACTGTAAGCTTGTCTTTAAATGTGATTCTTTTCTTATCGCTCTGAGATCACAGTAAATAAAATGGGTTAAAAAATGTCAAAGTTGCTGAAGCTACCTCTTTAAATATAACAGACAGCAGCCGGTGCAGCAGCAGCAGTCGCTAATAATACAAGACAACAGAAGCAGATTGACCAGTAATCATAGTCACACACCCAGTGGCACAACTTCCTGCTTCTGCGTCTCAATGCAACTTCTGTGGTTTCTACAGAAATGGGGAGTGTGAGAAATGGGTGTGAAACAGCTTTAACCTTTGCTTAAACAGTGACAAGTTGCAGCCGACAGCAGCCGAGAGCTCAGTAATGGAGCCGCAAGAGATCAGAGAGGGATACTTGGTGAAAAAGGTAAAATATCTGCATACAAACTTCTAAAATTCCTAACAAATCTGTAACTAACACTGTGCTTTTTTGTTTTATTGTATTTATTTAATACTATTATGATTGGCAACCTAAGCATTTTATGACATAGAATACATTTATATTTATAAATCCAAAATATATTTAAAATGGTTTGTCTGTCAAGCGACACATGTTGTATAACACAAAAATGAATGACTGAATTGTAGAATGAGTCCGCAGATGATACGAGAGGTTTCTTTTGCCACGTTACATTTCCGTTTTTTTAATCAAATGTAAGAGAACAACTGTAGTGATAATGAAAATAAACCAAAAGCAACATGTAAAAATGGTAAACTGGACAAAGTGACAGAGTTACAGGTGTTACTGTTACATCCAACCTTTATTTGTTTCACATTAAAACAACATTTAAATGAAACCGATGTCACAAAGTTGTGCCAGAACACATCACACTTCTGTTCTAGAGCTGAAACAGAAACCAAGTTCACTCACTAAATTGAGAAAAAAACATGTGAAATGCTTTATTTTTGTTTGATTCTTGCAGACTTTCACCCATACATGAATCCTCTCACAGCCTTGGACTGCAACAAGTTTAAATATACTGCAAAATCCACAACAACACACACCACAACAAATTACAGCTGCAAGACAGAGATCTATGTCGATGTATGTCCTTTTCAACATGCAAATTAGATGTTGTTTTTTTTCTAGATTTGCTGTTTGAATGTGATCTTTTCTCCTACTAACTACCCATGCTCACGTATTTTCTTCTGCATAGAGATAGCTAAGTGTAACTGCTGCTCTCTAAACTTCTGGCATGTTAATCGCAGGTGCAGCGAGCTCTTTTGTGAGCTCAAGTTCCTCTTTTGTTCACATCTGGTGATATTTCCCTGTTTGCATTTGCCTTCTTGTTTTCATCACATTATGAAGCACGTATACTTTATTTCTGTTGCATTTTTTGCTTAAGAGGAAGAATACAATGTCGTAATTTCTCTTCTGAAAATCTTCATGATGGAGTGAAAATGGCCACACTACAATAGTCTAGTTAAAGGGTTATTGCATAAATCTTGTTTTAGTTTTGAAATGAAAATAAACCATTGCAGCTTCAAAAGATGTGCTGCCCTTGTTGCTTAGATAAGAAAAAATGGAAGAAAAATATAAGGAGAGAGGTATAAAAAAAAGATCTCTCACACCAAGACAGGGCATGGTTTTAGGCATCAAAAAAATCTACCACAGCAAAGCAACATAAATAGACATAATACAACTAGTAAATAATAAATATAAATAGTCATAAAACATCATATTGCAATGCTGTTCACCTACCAATGAAGCTGAGGTCGAGGACAAAGACAACAGGAATGAACAGCTACAAACAGAAGTTTTGAAGGTCCCACAGCATGACATGCTGTTGAACATGAGGAACATGATTGCTAAGCTTTGGGAATGACAGCACCCACTTTGAATATGCTGTGAAACATGGCTGGAGCATGATAAATAAGAATGGCAAGCTATTTGCAGACATCTGGAAAACAATTGTGTGATTGATTTCACTGTCACCTTTCACCTTCATCTGTTGGTTTGGACTTTTGACATGCAAAAACAGGAACAAACTCTTGGGGATTGTCAGGGTGTGCAGCAAAACTGCTGGCATAGCTCTACAGAACATCACTAACCTACACAAGATGAGGTCAGTGAACAAGACCAGGTGGAATCTGGCAGATCCTGATCACCCATTCCATGGTGAGTTTAGATTGCTTCCATCTGGATGCAGGTAACTGCTGCCCAGATGTAGGCATCTGGGTATTCTGCCCAGAACAGACCACATATGAAGAGATTACTATCAACATCTTAAGCTTTAGAAAGAGAAATAATAAAGAATGGTTAACTCCTGAAATATAATAAAATAGTACAGAAACAGCTAAATGCCAAGATGATCAGCTCCAAATCACCCATACTTCAGCAATGAATACAGCAAAATGTATAGGAACAAAGACTGTGAGATGAAAAAGAGTCCACAAAAATGTGTCATTTACAGGAAAAGATAAAGAGGCTACACTGATTTGCACAGCAGACTGGCCTGAACACCAGTACCACCAAAATCCATGTCATGTGTATCAATCCAACAGCAGTGCACCAGTCACTGTGCATAACAAACCACTTGAGGTTGTTCGGGAATTTTATTTCCTTGAAAGTTTTATGAGCAACAATAATACATTTAGTGAAGACATTTTAGTATGGTTGGGAAAAGCACATGTTGCTTTGACCAGACTGTGGCTTATCTGGAAGTCAAAGCTTTATCACCTCCAAACCAAGCCTAGGCTGTCAAACGGCAACATTAAATATTTTTTGCTATATGGTTCTGAGTGTTGGAGTATAACACAGATCAATATGAAAAAAAACTGGATGGCTTTCATGACAGCTATCTGAGGAGAACATGTGACATACTGTGGCTCTTAAGAATGACTAATGATGATCTATACCAGAAGAACAAATGTGACAGTTTGAGGGTGGAGATAAAACACGTTCATCTTAAATGGCTGGGGTCATATACTGAGGATGAACAGCTGGCGTATACCTAAAATAGCATTGTGTTGGACACTACCTGGTAAAAGGAAATAAGGACGTTCAAAAACCAACATGGCGATGGACAGTGGCACCAGAGCTGCAAGAGATCAGTCTTACGTGGGATGAAGCACATGTGTTCATTGACAGAAGCAAGAAGAGGCAGCTGATTATGGCCTTATTTCCCAAAGGGGACGAAGAAGACTAAGCTAAGCTACATATCCTGGCTTCACAAACTCACATTTTTCTATCATTTACACATGATTCTGTTGCCCATTTCTGAAACAAGAACTGAAATATGAATATTTAAGATGGAAGTGTGATAGATGGTGGTGTTTCAGATTTCCATCCATCCATCCATTACCTTCTGCTTATTCCGAAGTTGGGTCACGGGGGCAGCAGCTTGAGCAGGGAGGCAGAGACATCTCTTTCCAAAGTCACATCTTTCAGCTCTTCTGGGAGGATTCCAAGGCGTTCCCAGGCCAACCGAGAGACATAGTCTCTCCAGCGTATCCTGGGTCTTCCCCGGGGTCTTCTCCCAGTCAGACATGCCCGAAGTACCTCCCTAGGGAGGTTCCCAGGGGGCATCCTTACCAGATGCCCAAACCACCTCAAGTGACTCCTCTCGACATGGAGGAGTAGCAGTTCTACTCTGAGTCTCTCCCGGATTATTGAAATTCTCACCCCATCTCTAAGGGAGAGTCTAGCTACTCAGCAAAGGAAACTCATTTCAACCACCTGTATCTGCGATCTTATTCTTTTGGGCAATACCCAGAGCTCATGACCATAGGTGAGAGTAGGAACATAAACCGAACAGTAAACAGAGAGCTTTGCCTTACAGCTCAGCTCTGTCTTCACCACAATGGACCGGTACAGAGTCTGCAATACTGCAGATGCTGCACCAATATGTCTGTCAATCTCATGCTCCATTTTTCACTCACTCGTGAACAAAACCCAAGATACTTGAACTCCTCCACTTGAGGCAGAACCTCACCCTTGACCTGAAGAGAACAATCCACCCATTTATGGTTGAGGACCATGGCCTCAGATTTGGATGTGCTGATTCTCATCCCAACCGCTTCACATTAGGCTGCAAACCGCTCCAGTGAGAGATGAAGATCACGGCATGATGATACCAATAGGATCACATCATCTGCAAAGAGCAGAGACGGAATCCTGAGGCCACCAAACCGGAAACACTCTGCCAGCTGGCTGTACCAAGAAATTATGTTCATAAAAGTTATGAACAAAATCGGTGACAATGGGCAGTCCTGGCAGAGTCCAACTCCCACCCTTAAGGGGGCCGACTTACTACCAGCAATGTAAACCAAACTCTCGCACCACTTGTATAGGGACTGAACAGCCCGTAACAACGGGTCCCCAATCCTATGCTCACGGAGCACCCCCCACAGTGTACTCTGAGGAACACGGTTGAATGTCTTCTCCAAGTCCATAAAACACATGTAGACTGGATGGGCAAACTCCCATGACCCCTCAAGGACCCTTGTGGGGGTAAAGAGCTGATCCAGTGTTCCACGGCCAGGACGGAACCCACATTGATCCTCCTGGATCTGAGGTTTGACCAACGATCGGACTCGCTTCTCCAGTACCCCTGAATATACCTTACCAGGGAGGCTAAAGAGAGTGATGCCCAATAACTGGAGCACACCCTCCGGTCCCCCCTTTTTGAAGAGGAGAACCACCACCCCAGTCTGCCAATCCAGTGGTACTGCCTCCAATGTCCATGCGACATTGCAAAGACATGTAAACCAAGACAGCCTCACAAAATCCAGAGCCTTAAGGAAATCAGGGTGAATCTCTTCCACTCCTGAAACCCTGCTGCCTCAAAGCTTTTTAACTACCTCGGTGATCTCAGCCACAGTCATGTATGGGTCAACCCCAAAGTCCCCTGACTCAGCTTCCTCCACGGAAGATGTGCTGGTGGGATTGAGAAGGTCCGAGAAGTATTTCTTCCACCTCCCAACGACATCACTGGTTGAGGTCAACAACACCCCACCTTTACTGAACACAGTGTTAGTAAAGTGCTTCTTTCCCTCTCCTCAGCTAACTGATGGTTTGCCAGAATCTCCTCGGAGCCAACCGAGAGTCTCTATTCAAGGCCTCACTGAACTACTCCCACATCTGAGTTTTTGCCTCATCAACAGCCAAGGCTGCGGACAGCTTGGCCCTCCACTACTTCTCAGCTGCCTCCAGAGTCCCACTGGCAAGGCCTGATAGGACTCTTTCTTCAGCTTGACAGCCTCCCTCGTTTCCAGAGCCTATGCTGTACACCAAGGTGAGCCCAACTATATCTAGTCTGTACCTCTCAACCTTTCGCACAAGCTAAGGCTCTTTCCCCGCCAGAAAGGTTACATTCCATGTCCCAAGAGCCAGCTTTGGTAAGCCAAGGTCAGAACGCCAAGATCTCCGCCTTCAGCCACTGCTCAGGACATCATGCATCTGACTTTTATGGCCCTTCCTGCAGGTGGTGGTGTTTCAGATTTGTTTTATTTTATTTTTTAAAGAATGAGGAAGAAAACTGAAAGCCAATATGTTTAGCAGTAACAAAGATTAGAAAAAAACAGGCATAAATCAAACAGTTTGGTTAAGTCTCGGCATGCAGCAGCTACAAACTCCACCAAGCTTTTTGCACTTTTGCTTCAAGGCTGCCTGTTTCGTATCAATCCTCAGGGTACAGTATTAAACTCCTGGAAGGCAGTGTGGGTGGTGTTGTCAGACGATGGTTTGGAGTTCTATAAAAAGAAAACGGACCGTTCTCCGAAAGGAATGATCCCTCTGAAGGGAGCCGCACTCACCAGCCCCTGTCAAGATTTCAGCAAGAGAATGGTAAGAAAATGTCAAGCAAACCACTCCAGCATAATTGAGAACAAGCACGCTGGGATTAGAGCTGTGAAAATAATCATTGTGGCAGATAATGTGAGAATTACAACACAGAATTGAAAAACCTGATTACACCAAAACAGCTGCTTTTTTGTGTATTATTTTTCTTCTAATTTACCAGCTGTGTTAGATGTTGATTTTTCTTGTCTCTAAAGGGGAAAAAAAGCCTTAAGTGTGAGAATGTTCAAACCAAAAGTTTGACTGACTTGACTAAATGCTTGATTTAGCTGGTCTTCAAGATTACCACAGAGAAAAAACAAGACCATTTCTTTCAAGCATCACACATAGAGGAAAGAGAGCTCTGGGTGAAGGACATCAAGAGAGCCATCAACTGTATGAAGGATGGGAAGAAGTTTGCCAGGAGGTCCACAAGGCGCTCCATCCGCCTTCCTGAAAAAGTCAACCTTGCGTAGGTTCCAAAAAAATCTTCTTGCATTTTAACAGTAATTTGATGATTACAAGAATCTGATTATTTTCTTAAGAACTGAATCGTGGTAAAGCCAAACTACCCACATTGAAAGTACTTGATAGCAGAAGGTGTACCGTATTTTCTGGCGTTTAAGTCGCATCAGACAAAAAAGATAGTGAAGAGGAAAAAAAATATTAAATCATTCAACCTTTATTTAGACAGGTTAATCCCATTGAGCCTCTGGGACTCATTTACAAGAGAGACCTGATTTCTTAACAAAGAGTGATGACAACATTGAATAACAACGACAACAATAGACAGTCATAAAATAGGCACAGGTATACAAAAGTAAGATTCTCTTTTTTTTTTGTTTTTTTACAAATCAAAACAAAATAGCAACCAAAAGGACAATCAAGCGGAATAGTAGCAAAAAACAGCTAGATTATAAGGCAATTTTGAAAACTAAAAACAGGAACATGTCTGCATTGGTTTTTGCCAGGAACTTATGTTTAAAGTCACTTCGAGAGATCAAGGTCGAGAGCTTCATGTCTTTTTGCAAGATAGTCCAAGAAACAGGAGCGGATTAGGAGAAGGCCCTTTTACCTAGTAGTCCTCACTGATGGAGGGAGGGAGGGAGGTATATAAGTATAATATATAATACCGTACATATAATATATACATGCATATAATATATAATACATATAAGTACATGCATACATACATATAATATATAATACATATAAGTTGCTTCATCATCAATCAACCTTTATTTATACAGGTAAATCCCATTGAGCCTCGAGGACTCATTTACAAGAGAGACCTGATTTCAACAAAGAAAGATGACAACAATGGACAACAGCAACAACAATAAGCAGTTATAAAAACTCATACTACAGTTTTTTTTTTTTTGTTTTTTTTTTTTTAACAAATAGGATGGCTAAAAGGAAAAAGGTAACAAAACCAAAAAAACTGCTAGATTCCAAGACAAATGTATAAAACTAAACTAAATTAAACTAAAATATAAGTCACTTCGGCATATATGTCGCTTTGGCGTATAAGTCGCATTTATTACGCGTCACTGCTGACCCCCGGGAAACGTGGGCCGAGTTTTGGCATGACACCGCCATGGGTGGCAGAGGTATGCTGGAGCTGTGAGCTCTCTGGCGTTCCTTCGCCTGCACCAGCTGAGTGATGCGAGCATGCACGGGAGGACTTGCTGTTGCAGTTCTTCGAAATTTAACAAGATTAACACAAAAACAATTATTTGTTTGCTCGACATTATAGCAAAGATGTGCATCAGTTTAACTTTTTTCTTTAATAAATGAACTTTAATGCTCAATGTCTGGCGGGGGGCAGGGGTAGTGGTACAGGAACAACATATATGCCTACCAGTAGTTGTCGAAAGCCTAGAGAGCCCTCTCACGCCTCTAGCATCTGCAAATGGTAATGTTTACATGGTTCTTATTAGTTTGAATGAACATTTAAAGTGTCCATCAAAAATTGCGTTATGAATATGAAAAAAAAAAACCTTATATAAGTCGCTTCGGCATATAATGCGCAGGACTATGCAAAAAACTGTGACTTACACGCCGGAAAATATGGCAATTGTTCAAGCAGCTGTTTTCTTCCCTTTCTGACTGTGATTTATTTAAATACTGTCTTCTGAAAATGTGGGTCAAGATCTTGCAGTTAATGATAAATAATAAAACAAAGTCATACTGAGTGGGCTCACAATGTGCTTTCTCAGTGAGCTGTATGCGCTGTTGAAAGACCAGGATGATGGAGTGAAGGAACTGAAACTGGAGCAAGATAATCGAGTTTTTAACCACTGCTTCACAGGTACACCACTCGGGTTTGGTTAATAGAGGTGTAAAAAAGTTGTTTTTTTGGTCTTATTTTTACCCTTCACATGTTTTCATCACTTTTTCTGCTTCTCTTTGTTCTTTACAAAGGTGCGACAGTGGTAGAATGGCTGGTTGTGAAGGGAAAAGCGAGAAACAGCCCAGAGGCGCTCATGTTAGCAACTGGGCTTCTGAACGAGGGCTTTCTCCAGGCTGCAGGTGACCTCTCCAAAGAGGGAGCAGAGTGTGCTGTGCAAGCAACCTTCTTAAATGATACAAAGGCTCTGTACTACTTTGTGAGTACAGCTCACTATATATATATATATATATACACACACATTTAACATCCAAGGTTTAGCATTCCTAGTAGCATTTCATATCACCTGCTGCCTTTCATGCCAGAGTTTTAGCCTAAAATCATCTTGTGTAGAGAAGTAACAGAGTTGTTGGAGCTGCTGCTATTTTTGGCTAAAACCTCAAAAATAACTTTTAGAGCAATCCTATGTGATAGCACAAATATATGCTGTGAATAACTCCCTGCTACTGTTAAGTCAAATGTTCGCTTTATGTCTGTTATTTATTCTATTTAACCGTTATTTTTACCAGCCTGTCTTTAAAGCTAACTAAGCTAATTTCAGCTCGCTGTGGTGGCCATCTTGAATTTGTGTGATTCCAAGCATTGATTGATTGGTTCATACAATTTTTCCAGTGGTTAAGATAATTTGGTAACAGCCACACACAAGCACACGCACAGACCCAAGCAAATATATTGCATGTATGTGGTTGACTTTCATCAGCAGCAGATATGATGCATTCAATTTTAAAGAAAGTTTTGCATAAATAACCCAAAAATACAAGTCGGTAAATTGTATTTTGTGGAGAAACTTGTAAAATTACATGTCTAAACTTTTTGGGTACTATCTGTATGCACGTTTGGTCTTTCAGGCAGATAGTGGGTTCTTCTGTGAAGGCTGCTCCAGTGATGAAGATGTTCTGTTGAAGGAGGAATTCAGAGGAAACATCATAAAACAGGGTTGTTTACTTAAGCAGGTACAAACAAACAAACAAACAAGAAAAAGCATATTTGCAAGCATGACAATGTCTTCTTATTTGGAACTGGAAAACACCTCTCACTTTCACATAAATTTCTGAAAGAAGATCCGTACGTTCATCCTGTTTTCACACAGGGACATAGAAGGAAAAACTGGAAGGTGCGGAAGTTTATTCTGCGAGACGACCCTGCTTATATTCATTATTATGATCCTTCAAAGGTAAATCCACTGATTTGGAGGAACTTTAACTTTTAAAACATTATTGAAAAAAACTTTTTTTTTTATGTCAGGGTGATGACCCCCTGGGATCCATTCATCTCCGTGGGGCTGTGGTTACAGCTGTGGAGTCTGCGCCTGATGGTGAGTGAAGCTGTAGGATCCACATGCTGCTCCCCCGCTGCGTCAAATAAATAAATATATAAATAAATAACTCGTCTGTACTGTCAGAATGGATTCTCTTCAATGGAGTCCTTTTAACTCTTTTTTCTTCTTCTTCTTTTTTTTTAGCCAAAAAGTACGACATTGATGGCAACCTCTTTGAGATCATCACTGCAGATGAGACTCACTACTTCCTCCAAGCTGCAACCGCTGAAGAAAGAAAGGAGTGGATCAAAGCAATACAGGCTGTGTCAAAATGTGGAAAATAACAGAAGCTGTGGAGCAGAGCAGGAATATCTGCCAGCTGCTGTTTTAACAAAAGCAAATTACCATCACACGTTTGGGTTGTTCTCTTTAAATGTGGAGTCACGGAAAAGTTTCAGTTTTGAACAGTATTACTGTAATTTCTGGACTATTGAGCGCCAGACCCGGCTCCAGAAAAATTTAGCTGGGGGGGCTGGGGAATATTTTTGGGGGGCCCATCGGTAAATAGTAATTTGTTTTATATAAATACATGAATAAACATTTACGTAACCTTGCAACTGAAAAAGCCATGTTTGGTTCATTAATACAAGACAAATAACTTGAACAGTGACACGTAGTCACTAGTAAATGCTGAGAAATTGTGCTCAAGTTTACTTTATTTTTATTTTTTTGCATAAATCTTAGAAATTAGCACTGCATTAATCATTGTGTTTGAAACACATTAACACCAGAAACTTGAAGGCGACTGTACATGAACTCCTGAAGAGAAGTTAAAATGTTTGGAAAAAAAAAAAATACTGAACATTTTTAACATTTCTACTCTTTTGTTGAACAAACCTGACATGCAAAAAAAAAAAAAAAAACTCTGTGGAAAATGTTGTTAAGCTAAGTTCTGATGTCCATTTTGCCATATTACCTTATCAAAATGTCTTCTTCACCTTCTTGTGATTAGCGATTGGAAAAAAAGCATTTTCACATTTTAATGTATAGTTTTTATTATCTGAATTTGGAGGTTTTTAGGTTGATTACATGAATATGTAGACAGGAATACAGAGGTATTCTTATTGTATTTTGATTGATAAAGATTATGTATTTTAATGCGTAGAAATGCCCAACCAGGGACTGGAGTTACGAATTAGCTATAGCTATATAATCTTTGTTCAACACATCAGTCACAGACTTGTTCTGTTCTATGTTTGTGTGCATTGTCCCTGTCAGATGAACTAATAATTAATAAATAAATAAATAAAATTTCACCTAGATTTCCTTACTTTACTTCCACACATTTAAAGCACGTATCTCACCAAGTTTGTGTAAATTCAGCTGTGGGGTTTAAAGACATTTCAACTTTAATGCACTTTAAACACACAGCATCAGGTCGGCACTATTTGTGTTGAGAAATTAAATATATTAAATAAATTTAAAAAAAACATTACCGCTAGACATTTTTTACTTGTGTTCAACACTACTCATCTAAAGGATGTTTCTCTTGAAGCTTGAAGACAAAAGGGTGTGGGGTTTTAAAGACATTTCAACTTTAATGCACATTTTATTTGGACAGTGTCTTACACTTGCAGTGTCACAGTTAAGTGCTAAGCTGCTACAGACGTAGCACTCCACTTTTTTTTTTTTTTTTCTGAACAGTGCAAGTAACACGGCTGGTTAAAAAAATAAATAAATAAATACAGTAGCCTACCAGGAAGTCACTGATTGCTATCTCGATCTTTTTTCTGCAGAGTTTTTTTTATATTTTTTAACTGCTCCTCTGTCAGCATCCACTGGCAGACTGGAGCAGAAGTTGCTCTTTGCATGCTGCCAGTTTTGTTAAACGATTTCTTGCCACCAGTCATCTAAGCCTTCCACCAAGCTCCGAGTATCACGTTAACAATTCACACAGATATCTAGTGGCTGTGAATAATTTATTTATTATTATTAAATAATATTCCCCTCCCCATTCTCTCCTCCACTCCTCGTTTCATTGGTCCTTTGTGACCTGTTTGGTAATGTCATCTGTCAGATTTTTTTTCAATCTTTATTTATACAGGTAGTGTCATTGAGTCCCAAGGACCCCCCCAGGAGAGATGTGTATTGGGCAGTGGTGGGATGTAACTAAGTACAAATACTTTGTTACTGTACCTAAGTACATTTTTCATGCATCTGTACTTTACTTACCATACCATACCATACCAATTTATTTATAGAGCACTTAAAACAGCAACAAGGCCAACCAAAGTGCTGTACAAAAGAAAACAAACATGCACAGCAGACAGGAAAACATAAAATAGAAATACAGATACAAATAGCAGCAGAAGCTAACTAAAATGGCCAACAGAGTAGAGAACAGACCGGACCAAAACAATTCACACCGTGTTAAAGGCAAGCGAATAGAAGTGGGTCTTCAAGCGAGACAAAGACTGAGAGTGTGGGAGCCTGCTGGACACTCAGTGGCAACTCATTCCACAGTCGTGGACCTGCAACAGAGAAAGCCCTGTCACCTCTGAGCTTACGACGGGTTTCTGGGACTGAGAGAAGCATCTGGTCTGCTGACCTCAGAGAGCGCGGTGGGACATATGGCTGCAGAAGATCAGTGAGATAGGATGGGGCGGAACTGTTCAGTGATTTAAAAACATACATGAGAATCTTGAATTGGATTCGAAGGTGAATGGGTAGCCAATGCAGGGAGGCCAAAACTGGCGTGATGTGCTCTCTATAGCCTGTACCAGTTAAAAATCGGGCTGCAGCATTTTGGACCAGTTGTAGACGAGCAATGGAGGATTGACTGATTCCAAACAGAAGTGAATTGCAGTAATCAAGCCTAGATGTTATGAAGGCGTGGATCACTGTCTCAAGGTTCTTTTTGGAGAGTATAGGTTTCAGCTTAGACAGCCGTCTCAGCTGAAAAAAACAGGATTTGACCATCATGTTTACGTGACTGTTGAGTTTTAAGGACGGGTCCATTATCTCCCCCAGATTAGTGACCTTTTGTTTCTCTAGCGGGGCTAGAGAGAAAAGGTCAATGTCATGGTTCATGAGTGAGCCACTGGGATGGAACAGCATGACTTCAGACTTCTTCTCATTGAAGCTTAAGAGACTTAAGTAGAGTTAAATGTGGGTACTTTATACTTTTACTCCACTACATTTTACATCAAGTATCTGTACTTTCTACTACACTACATTTCTATAATGTGTTGCATTACAAGTTACATTCATGTTGCGGCTTTTTGATTGGTTTGTTACTTTGAAAGTAACCAATGGTGAGAGGGGAGCTGGTCCAGTGAATCACTGCAAAGTGTGCAGGTAACGTTAGGCCCGCCTTCAAGAAGAGCTGGACCAATGACATATATTCTAGTATACATGTCACTGAGCTGGGTGCACCTGCAGCACCACTACACCCAAAATGTATTCCACCGTAAGAGAGTCAGCCAGAAGATATGCTCCACCCATGGCCTTATTGAAAGACTGCTCAGTACAACCGGAAAGATTATCTCTCCCAAAAGAGCCAGACTGGACTCAAAAATCTTTGAAAACCAACTTATTCTGAACTTGAACCAGAAATTCTTGCTGCAATATTAAAATGTGTCAGTTCATGGGATGCTAGGAGACAAGAGATGTCTCCAAATGGCTCGACACACAGGTCCAAGTTTTAAAAATGGTGTCAGGAAGTTAAAATATTGTTCAATATTGACCCATTACAAGGTTGACTAGACAGTATTTTAACTAGAGTTGATGACAAACTGGAGTTGAAATGATCAGTGCCTGTTCCTTTGTCAGTTGTGTCTAATGTTCCTTTTGTTCAGGCAGACAACTTTTACTTAAATGTGTTTACTGCAGTTAAATGACACACTGGTTTTGCTTTGTGTTAAATAAAAACTTTCAAAGGTATAATCATTTCTCTTTCTTATTTTGAATAATGGCATTTAACTCTGCATGTCATCCCTGAAATACTGGCACAGAATCACAAGTCCAAGCGTGAACTGTGTCACAGAGTAAACACAATAAAAACATGTATTATCTGCAGCATTGTTCAGTAAAATGGCTCAACACTATTAATGTATTACAGAAAATATACATACGGTAGGTACACTTAAAGATATATAGACCATTGCATTATGTAATACATTCAGGAAGCACTTTTACTTTTAATACTTTAAGTATTTTAAAAGCAAGTACTTATTTACTTTTACTTAAGTAAAAATGTTAATGTGATACTTTTACTTTTACTAGAGTACATTTTTGTCTGTTTATTTGTACTTTTACTTAAATACAGTGTTTGAGTACTTTCTCCACGACTAGTATCAGGCAGCTATGTGAGCACTAGAGTGTGATGAGGTGTGTGATAAATGTTTTGGTGGCAGGAAGCTCGTTAGCCCGTCAAAAAACAAAAAAATCCATAAATTAGCTGCAGCATTGTTTAGGGCTCGGGCTTCAAATCATGTGGAAAAAGTAGCAACTCAAAGTCTGGAAATTACAGTAAAGTCTAATCGCATTTCTTCAATATGCACATGATAAAAAGAAGAAGGAAAAGCAGAAAGAAAGAAAGTCATGTATAGTCTCTAGAAAAAGGTTTTCTATTAATTTCAGCTTATTTTATTTGGAAAGGTCAAGAATATATGCAGTATACAATATTTATTTAATTTTATTTAAGCTTGTGACAGCAGTGCAAGTTTTCTTCACTCACCATCTTGTCTTTTTAGGCCTGTTCCTCTTTCGTTGCCGGAATAGCTGAGAAAATCAAGAGCCAGACGTGAGAATTAAAATAGACAAGCTGAAAAGACAAAAATGCATGACTCAAAATGTGGCAGAAGCTGTGCTGTCTAAAACAGATTACTGTAAATTGTGTAGAAGCTGCAACACCCACAAGTCATTGTAAATGTGGCAACAGCTTTGCTGCCTTAAAATAATGTCAAATTACTGTAAATTAAAAAAAAAAAAAAAAAAAAGCTGTGTCACTAAATGGTTTACCTTAAATGCTGGAAAAGCTGCACAGTGTAAAATTAATTATTGTAATCTATGGTGATAAATGGTCTTCATCTTCATCTTTATACATTTTTATTATTAAAGAATAAAAATACTGTAAAAAAAAATGTTTCTTTTTTTGTGACTTTTTGACATTTTTGTTCTAGAACTTGCTAGAGACTAATAAAATGTCACCAATAATGAATAGAAGTAATTATGTCTCACCAAACACATCTGTCTAAATAAAATAAGACAAAGAAAGGTCGACTGTGAGACAAAGATACTCTATTCAGAGACGTATGTTTAACCACTGTGGTTTTCTAATTTC